GATAGAAAGTGATTAAAAACAACATTTTCCTTTTGATAATTCCCTAAAAACTTATTTTATATTTCTTGAAAACAATAAAGTTTAACAAAAAAAATAGAATTTATATCAAGGCAACCCGACCCCAAAGAAATGGATAAAATGCATACAAATATATATTTATTTGTGCTTTTTGAAACACAGTGGGAACAATGAGGATGAGCAGTCTTTATATAAACATACCTCTTGTGACAATAACACATTCAAACAAGCACACTAATACAGTACCATTCATTACAAGATTCTTTAAATATAACGAGAGGGATTTTGACTCATCAGAGTATCAATAGGAGTATTTACAAAAAATATATAAAATACTGGAAGCAGTAATTAAATTTTGACTGTCCTTGTACCCTTGTGATGAAGACAATTTAAATGTCCAGTGTTCAAGTAAGGTCAGGAATGTTTCTTGCATATACACCCTCATTTCCTCCGACAGTGTATACAGTACCAGTAATGAAGGTAAAGTGGCAAACTCATATTTCATTGAGATCTGTTATGTTATTTACAGATATGTACAAGTAATCTCATAAAAGTCTTTTACAATTTGCTTTGTTTACATTTAATAGCATATGTACAATTTGATGCTGACATTCTTAAGGAAAAATCCATCCAATCGCTACAGATGCTTGTCTCTCCATATTTTTTTCTTCAAAACAAAAGAGTTCAGAACAGCAGCTGTACAGTTAGACATGCCGCAGGACCAAGCCTGAGGGGTGCCGCCAGCCCCACAGTTCAGTTCAATCTGCTGCGTGTTTTGGTCTGCTCTCTTTTTGGGTCAGTCTTCTTATAAATGTCTTGAGTTTGATGCTTAGCGGTGAGGAGGTAGTTTCTAATTTCACCAGAGAATGACAGAGAGTTAGTAAAATGCAAACGGTGCAGCTGGAGTGTCCGGAGAATGGGCAGCACTACGATAAAGACTGTGTGGCGTTGTTGAAGGTGACGACCCATGACTTTGGCTTGATGATGGTGACCCTAAAGAAAATGGTTACAAATGAAGAACTTATTTTTGTGCACAAGACTGTGTTTAGTTGTGTGTGAACTTCTGTGAATGTTCTCACCATTTTCCATATAGCTGCTTCGATGAGGTGAAACCGACATGCTGTATTGATCTTGAGCTCTGATCTGTTTGGAGCCTCTTCCACGTAACACATCTGATATCTAAAAAAAAATCACAATCGATTTTTGGGGAAAAAAAGATTGTCTTTACAATGTGTTTTATTAGACCTTCTATTTATCAAGATAATACTGGTATGGGCAAAAATAAACCATTTTCATTTGGCCTCTAGAGGGAGCAATACGTTCATAACCTTCTASTTCTGATTGTTTCTTTCTGGTGTCCCAATCTGAGCTGTCATTAGGTTTTGCAATTGATTGTATTTGTTTTGATGTAATTTTGGCAAGTGAATGGGATTTTCCATCCTAAGATCATTCTGTGCAATGAAAGTTTGAACTATCATAATGTAGTCATATACAGATGGGATTTCCTGCTTTCCTAAATGGAATATTCTTCAAACAATAATGC